GGCATAGTAACAATACTTTTTATACTACATTTATCCATTTTAAATACACTAACCTCACTCCTTTGTAACAACTAAGACAAAAATGTAATTAATTCTGAAAACTTTTCAGGACCCCACCTTGATGTTTCGGGACCCCACTTTGGGTCCCAACCCCAACTTTGGGAAACACTGGAGATGCTTAGGTGACCATGACTTTTGGACAATCAGACAAGACTTGAGGCTTCTGACATCAATTGATTTAGATTTTGGCAGTAATGATTGTAAACTAGCCAAATGTCTTTTTTAATTCATTCCCCCTCTCTTAACTTACCAGCATGAAATTGTGTGCACGGTTGAAATGGCTATTTTAAGCTAATTATCAACCCTTTAAAGTTCTTAGCTTGCTTAGTTTAAATATGTAGTAACAATCGTCAGAATGCGAGGGTTTAAAGGGCTTTGAAATACTTTTAAAAAAATAGGTGGGACATAAACATGTAGCACTAACCTGGATCAGAGTCAGACAGTAAAAACTAGAATGTTCAGTTTTAAAATGAACTATTATTAATGTTGTCAAGCATTAATAATAGTTCAATAAGCAATGCAGTTAATCACATTTATGGCAACACAGCACAGGCGAGCAAAAGATCCGAGTACATTCAGGAAAGGGAGGTAATCGCCTGTGAGAAAATGTTGTGGTTTTCAGACCAATGCTAACATTAGCCGACAGTTATCCAACCTTATTGATATATTAACTTTTACTACTAAACAAAACACCTGGAGTCTAGCAGCAGTTTAAGATCGACTCATTAGCTAGTAGATAAAGTTATCAGGTGTTAAGCGTATCGAAAGTTTACTCACTAACTTGGACACATCTCTAAACGCAACAAACAGGATGTTTAGGTGAGATTAGCTTCATGGTGGTCAATCCGCACTCAAGACAAGGCCAATAACACCGCCGCATGCGATACAAGTTCAACTCACCCAGCTGAGCTAATTTCAACTTCTCGGTTCCGTAAACACGTTCAAAAATGACAAAAAGCTAATTTTTTACTTGTAATAGACTTCATACAGCTATAACTTCTTGTCAGTTTGTTGTTAGGTTTTGTTTCTCCGTCCGTATGTGACTCCTGATGCTGGCTGTCTTTAGCTAGCTTAGTTACGTCATGTGACCGAGGCAACACAGAGATTCTGATGCCCTGGGTTTAGTCTTACAGGCAGAAACGATGGTTAGAGTTTCTTCCCGGAAATTGTCTTACAGGCAGCTTCAACAGCAGCCTACCCAAAATGGTAGTTTCAAAAATAGGAGGAGAGATTTACAAAACAAGTTAGGGGTCCTGAGAGGATCTTCAGAAATCAAACAAGATGTAATAAAAGCTCGTATGTGTCCATATTTTACTATATTTGCTATTAAAAAAAGAAAACAGCAGTGTGAATTTGAGACGTGTGTTGTCAACATGGTTTAAAGCGTTCACCATCTTCAATCAAGAAAAAAGAACAATGCAAATTTTTGGCTCTGTTTTCTCAGGGAGGCTTTAAATTTAACATTTTTGAGTGTCTTGAATACACAAACATACTAAAGAATTACAGCTTTATTTTGTCACATTTAGTAAAAATTGAAGTCAAAGTCTTAAAATCTAAATTAAAAAGTGAAACTGTAATTGGATATTTGTGATAATATGTTTTTTTCTTCACTGTGCACCCTTTTTATTCAGAACTTTTCTCTTTTTGTTTTATTGTTGTGTTTTTAGTGAAATAAATTAAATAAATAAAAATGAAATAATCGTCCACTTCTACATATCAGTGTGGCAGTTTCAAACAAAATGTAAAAAAAAAAACCCGTCTTGTATACAAAATATTCGAGTGTTAATATGGAGAGGACTATTATGGTTGTTTATTGTGAAAAATCCATGGATTATTGATTATTTATGATAATCAATGGAGTGAATTGTGTCTAGTTTCTAAATAAATCAGAGAAACATAATTTAGCTATATTAACACGATGATAACAACTATCAACACATAAATACATTCTGTTCAAGAATAAAGAAACAGGCAGAGAAAATCCTCACAGAATCCACACACCCAGGACACAACCTCATCCTAACCCTGATTGTACTACAATGTTTTAGCTGACCTGTATATTGTCTACAGCATTGTATACACAAATCCCTTGTGTGTCTGTCATACTTGGTCAGGTCAATAAGCTAATTCTGTATATTCCAAATCCACTTGTTGTGTAAGTACTCAAAACACCGCTAGAGGGCGGAATGTTCAAAATCTAAACCGGAAGTTCAGGCAGACGAAGAAGAAATCAACGATGCACAGTGCTCTGTCAGGGCTTTTAACCAAAATCTGTGTTATTGTATAGTTTTACCTATAAAACAGTCACCATGCCTGTCATTTGTGCGGCACCTGGGTGTAATAATAAGTTTGTGAAGGGCTCGGAAATCAGATTTTACAGGTAGGAGCGAAACCTGCGAAGTTTTTTTTTTTTTTTTAGCAGCACGAACCATCTTTGTGCTTGTCTCTTTTTGTAAAATGTGACTTAATGAGGTGTTTGAGAGAAATCGACACATGTTTATGTTTTGTAGATGTTTTTATGTGGTCGTTAAACGTCAAAAACAACGCTTTGGGCTTTGAAAGAATGGGTTCAGGTGGATTATTTTATACTATCGTTTTTACACAATACTCAAAGTCACTAGACATTGTTGCTAAGCACAAAGAAATATACTGGGATTATTTAAAAAACGAACATAAAACCTAATGATAAAGTAACGGTTTTCTTAATCTAAAATGCCAGGTTTGGATGGTTTGAGCTCGCAGTTTTTGGTAATGCATCAAAAACAAACACGATGACGGTTTTGTAGAATAAAGCAGTGTTTTTCAACCCTGCCTGGTCCTCAAGGCACACTGCCCYGCATGTTTTAAATGCTTCCCTGGTTCAACACAGCTGATTTCAATTGGTAGCTGATTAGCAGGCTTTTGATGAACTGTAAACACCTGAATCAGGTGTGTCAAAGCAGGGAGAACATGCAGGGGGCCTTGAGTATGGGATAAGATAACTGTCATAATCACTGTATGTGTAAGAGTCTAATAAGTCTATAAACGTATCCCATACTTGAGGACCAGGGTTGAAAAACACTGGATTGATCACCTTTATTGTCGATCACAGTTCTTCACGAATGTACACTAATGTTGATATATTGCAAGAAAAAAAAATCCWTTTGGTGCAGTCTTATAGAGCCTAAGCTCATAAAGTCAACAGAGGTGAGTGTTAAAAATACTTAASTAATTTGTGTAGTGTTAAATCTAAAGTGAACCATTTGATTTGCCCAAATGATAAAATCACATTGGATCATATTGTATAGTTGATATACTGTATATTGTAATCATAAACATGCTTTCTTACTGTAAATGTTTACTTAAAACTACTTTCCCACTGACCTAAGAATGCTATAAATTGCATCCTGTACACATTGCAGCAGCTCCTTGTAATATATATTTAAAGAATATATTAAGCAGGTAAACACATATTTTTCTTAAACCAGAGCACAGATCTAAAAATACCTGTGTGATATTTGTGTGGGTAAGTAGTACACATCAACTTTTGTAAATATACTTCATTATGTACACAGTCTTCAAAATCCTTCTTAATTAAATCATGGCTTTTATTTTTTTTCCAAAGCTTATGTAAGAGCCTAAAGCAAAATTATTTTAAGAAACAATACCAGAATAATAATAATTATTATTATTATTATTATTATTATTGTTGTTGTTGTTGTTGTTGTTGTTGNTTATTATTATTGTTGTTGTTGTTGTTGTTGTTGTTGTTGTTGTTGTTGTTGTTGTTGTTGTTGTTGTTGTTGTTGTTGTTATATTTAGTACTTATTAACAAAAAAGCTGTAACAACATCAATTCACATTATAAAATGATTTTAGTTTTAAACTCTGGCACATAATAACTATAACCATCTATAGCCCTTTTGTTTACGTCTAGTAAATAATATCTACCATATCTGTTGTGAATAATTTACATCTGCTTTCCTAACAAATTATAGAACAATGTCTGTAAAATTTACTGAATTATAGCCATTTTTGTCTTTGCTAAAGTTGATTATCTATGGCAGCGATCTTTTATCAGGTCAGATACAAAAGTTAATTGGTTATAAACGTTCGTCCAATGATTATTTTCTGCAGATTCCATTTAAATCAGTGCAGTGGTACAAGAGGTATTTTGCTAACAGACATACACAGTTAATACTTACAATAATTAAAGTTTTCAACACAAATCTGGCATGATGTGTTAGTGCTTATAGTATGTGTTGTGGAAGACTCTCAGCTACTACCACTCTAAATGATATCTTATTTTTTTTTAGATTTGGCTGCGTTATAGCCATTTCTTTACTGTGTAAACTCACTTAGCTGTGGCAGTCAACTTGAATCAGGCTGACTCCAAAAGTAAATCAATTGTAGCCGTAAATCCAAAGATAAATTCTTGAGAGTTTCGTCAAAATGTATCCACTGGTTCATGAAATATTTTGCTAACAGACAGACAAACGCACATGCACACAAACACAGTCAGTTTTCCCACCTTTGCTTTCCCCTCGTTGGATGTGAATAATAGAGGTTACACTGTCAGGTGTGGCACAAAACAAATACCACAAATAAACCTGAATTTATCTGCACTCAACTCTTTCCACATTAGCTGTAGGTTTCTGTTTGATTCCATGGTGTTTTTATAAATTAAAGATGCAGCAGATTTGAGCGCTTCAGGCAACTGCATATGTCCACTAGAATATTTCCAGTAAATGTGAAAGGCCCCAGTATTTTACAAGTTTGGACATGGTTGTGTGGAAGTGTTAGGGCCGGGAACATTCAGACTTGTTGTTCTAACAGGTGTAAAACTCTCCAACACGTCCTCTCCTCCTCTCCCCCTCGCTCACCAGGTTCCCTCTCAGTAAGCCTCAGCTCGCCAGCAAATGGGTGCAGAGCCTGGGCATGAAAAACTTCATCCCAACTGCCAACACTTGCCTCTGCTCCGAGCACTTCAGGACCGACTGCTTCAGGGACTACAACGGCAAGCAGTTTCTGCGAGAGGACGCGGTGCCCACGATATTCGCCCCGGGGCAGGACTCGACAAAGGTGAGAGCTCCCGACGCAGTCGAGCTTTCGCTTTGAACATTTTCAGCTCGAATGAAACCATTTTGTTTTGTTTTTTGTTTTCGTTTGTTTTGTTTTGTGTTTCTTTGTTGTTGTTGTTTGTTTGGTCTTTTTTTTTTTTGTCTTTTTGTTTTGTTTTGTTTATTTGCTTTTCAGATCGAGCTGCGTAAAAGAGCAGTGGTACCTAAGGAGACGAATGTGGCGAATCAGATGGGAACACAAGCAGACAGGGACAAAGTGAGAGAGGCTGCCATGCGGAGGGAGAAAAGAGGAGGAATGAGGGTGAGGCTCCTCTCACAGCTGACCACATCTTCTTTTTTTTTTTTTTACTTTAAATGTGTCACACAACTGTTTCCGTTGTGGCTTGAGGCAGTATTTTTGATACACATGAGATTGCATTAATTGATTTGCACAAAAGGTTTCTTTAAAACTAGAGCTAAATAATTCTTTTATTATAAACTGAATTAAAGCATGTGTAAATTTATCTCAGAACAATATTGTGCACTAACATAACGTAATAAAAGTGTTAATGTCCCGTTGTTGCAGGGTGGACGAGGTAGTCGTGGAGGAAAGCAGCTGTCTGACAGGTGAGGCCTTCTGATAGCGTTTCTTTCTTTTCTGTATCTTCACTGAGTTTGGAGGGTTACCTTGAAGGTTTTATTCTATTAAAGGGGAACAAAGTGCTCTTATCTTTACGCAAGGCAATCGAACAAAACATCCAGTTCTTTTCCACGTACTTAGAAATGAGATTTTTGTGGAAATGATCCTCTTGAGTATAATTAACTTTATTTCTGATTTAACTGATTGTGGCTGTAAGCAGCTGCTGGCAACAAACCAGATTTCTGTGCGTTGTTGAACGTGGTGTATTCTCCCCAAAAACTGACCAGGAGGGTGAAGGAGGAGCTGACATATTTCCAGAAAAGATTTAATCACTAGATTATTGTATTTGGTAATAGTTTTCAGGAACTCAAATGTTCCTTGTGGCTCTGTTCTTTAATAGTGTGAATGCTGATTCAAATCATTTCTGTAAAGTACTTCTGCATACTGTGCTGTTTTTAGCTCTTCAGATATTAAAAAGTTCAGCTTAATAAGGAGGTGCTATGATTTGTTGGTCTTTTTTAAACTTCAGCTAGCATTTTGATTCTTTTAGCCTTTACTTGTCATTTTGATTCTTTTAGCCTTTAGCTAGAGTTTTGATATTTTTAGTCTTTAGCTAGCCTTTTGTTCCTTTTAACCTTTAGGTAGCATTTTAATCCTTTTAACCTTTAGGTAGCATTTTAATCCTTTTAACCTTTAGCTAGAGTTTTGATCTCTTTGGTCTCAAAATAGCATTTTGATCATTTTAACATTTAAACTACCATTTTGATTCTTTTAACCTTTAGCTAGGATTTTGATAAGTTTAGCCTTTACCTAGCATGTTGAGCATTTTAGCTTTTAGCTAACATTTTGATTCTTTTAACTTCACCTCTCATTTTGGTCATTTTAGCCTTAAACTAGCATTTTGTTCCTTTTAAACTTTAGCTAACATTTTGCTCCTTTGAGCCTTTACGTAGCATTTTGATCCTTTTAGCCTTTACGTAGCATTTTGATCCTTTTAGCTTTTACTTAGCATTTTGATCCTTTTAGCCTTTACTTAGCGTTAATACGTTTAGCCTTTTGCTAGGTCTTGGATTCTTTATACCTTTAGCTATGATTTTGATATTTTTAGCCTTTAGCTAGAGTCTTGATCCTTTTAGCTTTTAGCTAGCATTTTGCTTCTATTTGCTGTAACAACTCATTTTCAGTTTCCTCTGCAAAGTCAGCACTTAACATTCACACTGCATTTCTCTAGTTAGATTACTGTGATTAGAATTTGATGAATGTTTCATTAGAAAATGAAAGAAAAAACTGGCCCCCAGGTTTTTACTCTCCTGACTTCATGTCGACTGACAATGCCCGGGTGCGTTAGACTCTGACAGCGTTAATGGAGACATACGCATAGATGGTTTTATATTTGKCTGTGATAAATTCACACTGTCATAATGTGTGATTAAATAAATAAAAAAGCACAAGTGAAAAGGTAATTATGGAAAGCCACTGTGGGGAAGAGGCTTCAAGAAAATTAAATCAAATTGTTGCATCCGAGGGAACAGATCACATCATGTCAGCTTTAAATCTTCATCATGCAGGCAGAGCGTCGCCGCCAAAAGCAAAGTGTACGACAACAAAGGCCGGCTGCTGTCCAACGGCGAAGATATGTGCGACTGCCTGGATGTRAACTGCATGGGCTGCTTCTACCCCTGCCCGGAGTGCGGCTCGCGCAAGTGTGGAGTGGAGTGCCGCTGCGACAGGAAGTGGCTTTACGAACAGGTGGAGGTGGAGGGTGGAGAGATCATCCGGAATAAATTCGCCACCTAATGAWCAAGGACTCTTCTGTTTTCTTTCTCCAATCAGGACGTCACAAAGCTTTGATGCAACTCCTCTCCCCTTCAGTTCAAATGTGAATGAGCTGTTAATTCATATCAGTTTGTGATGCTTTGAAAAGACAGATTTCACCTTTTAAACTATTATTTAAAGTTTTTGTTTTAATGATGCCAACAGGTGTTAATAAAAGTGTCTGTTTTTATTGTGGCGTCTTTTAAAATGAGTGGAAATACAGTGACTTTTTCAGTGTTCAGTCAGAGGCAGTCTTCCAAATTGACCTTATGCCAATTTTTCACAATTCATTATTATGGACAACCACTGAAGGCCAAACTGTGATTGTTTTTGCTGGTGTTTGGATAAATCATTAGCAAAATGTCATATGAACCAGACAATGGATGAAAATTCTCAGAAAATGTTCATTAAATGTGCATCTACAATTTATTTACTTAGTAACACAAAAATGACCAAAATGGCTTTAAGTCTATACCTTGTCATCATATAATAATTTTCATTTCACACTGGCAAAAATAGTGGGCAATATGTTGGGTCTTTTATTTCCCTTACAATAAAAACATCAGTATGGTATTGTATCAGTGCCTTCTATAATTGGAGGGTAAATGATTTGTCTTTCATAAAGTAATTTCTCAGTWATGAAACAAGTTAATAGTGTTGTAAAATACAATTATTTAGCTTCCATTTGGTCTTTTTTTTTTTAACGAGTGGGCACAAAAACAACAGACCGGACCGGCATGATGCAGCAGTTCAGAGCTGGACAACCTGTAAAACAGTAATTGCTCATTTCTCTCCCCATCACTCTGGCTCAGCTGTAGGTGAGGCGGAGGGCAGAGAACTTTTGTTTCATTGCTATTTTTTTTTTCCCCAGGAATGTTGATGACCACGGCTGAACATCCCTACCAAACCTGAACTGTGCAGCACAGCAGTGGGGGGGAAGCAATGTGTGCAGTCAGCTTTCCTCTACATCACAGAGCTAAATAATCTATTCCCTTTTGCTTTTTACTGCCGGTGCCTTGTGCGTTTTATGGCTTGCTCGGGAAAGAGGCAACAAATAAATTAAGCTTATTAATATTTATAAAAGGCTCAGGGCGAGTTGATGCAAACAAGTCATTCATCACAGAAGCTAAAATGTTCCTCCATACTGAACGTGASACCTCTCTCATCTTATGACTGTTGAAAGGAACAAAAACCTTACATTTCTTGGTTTTATTCTAAGCAACACGAGGATAAGCAGAGTTTGGGATTATTATTTTATGATGAGTTCGTTGTTGATTTTGGGGAAGTTGAGTCATGAGTTCCTGAGATGAGGATGGGTTAATGTGCATTAGAGTYATAGGCTGGAAATGGTGTTCAGAAATATATCACAGTGGTACAATTTTGATCCTAATATCTAAAAACCTTCAAAACAAACAAGTGGATAAATATTCTATAAACTCAATTTTCCAACCTCTGCTTCCTTCCTTCAAGCTGGCCTGTGGTGCTCACACGTTTATCAGTGTCCTGCTTTAGATGGATTTATAGCAGGACATTGGCAAAATGAGCTGATTTTAGATTTTAAATAGTTTCCTCTGCAATGTCTTTATTTCTGGATTGCAAATAACTCAGAATAAGAGATTTGGTTTTGCTTTATTTCATTGTTTTTTATAGCAAAAAAATAAGAGAGACAAGAAAACCCAGTTTGTTGATTTTAAACAATTTCTTACAAAAAATAAGGTCATGCAGAACATCCCAGGGATGAGGCAGATGATAGCATCTGTCTACCTCAGATTATCAGAGCGTGCTCATTTAAGCAAAGCTTATCAGCAGGACATAACTACGCCACCATGCGTGTCATAACACTGAACTGTGAGCAGATATGCACGTTACACAACTATCCTGTTACACCTAATGAGGACATCACAGAGAGAGTGTCTTATTGGTGAGTCTTGTTTTCCTACAACTGTTTTAATTACTCCCCCTACCAAGCACATATCAATTATCTGAGCGGGCTGCAACCATTTCTGCTGCTTCTCTCACTAATAATATTTGTCCCGAGTCATAAAATGTCTTAACTGGGATTATCAACTGGTGGCCCGTGGGCCACTTTGAGTTTGCTGAAGGGGAGGTCTTTTCCAGGTAGTGGAGGTGACATTGTAAAACTGAAAATATATAATGACTTTTAATATTTATTGTTATTTTTAAGGTACCACTTTACAATAAGGCTCCCCTTATAGACAGCTTATGAATAGTTTATAGATAGGTTGTTGATTCATCTGTAAACACTTTATATATCATTAATAAATGTTTATTATGGATTAGTTAAGGACAGGAAAGAGACAAAACTGTCCGTTTTCTTGCCAAATCTGTTTGTGAACATATTACTAGGTTTATAAGCAGAATTATGTATTGGAAACACATGTTTAAATAATAATATTGAACTATATTAAATATACATATTAACAACTGTCAAAGGGAGCCTTAATGTAAAATGTAAGACTACACTATTTATAAGGTTCTGTTATGACATTATTATTATTACACTGTGCAACACTTTACARTAAGGGTCCCTTTAATTACTGTGGATATGTATAATGTGGTGATACAGTACAATATTATATGTAAAATATGTTTTCAATAAATTATTGTGCTTACAAGGTAGTAAACTAGTCTGAAATGTTTAATAAGCACCTTTAGATGTGATATATACATGGACACATTTGGCTCACTATTTGGCAAGAGATCGGACAGTTTGGTCTCTTTCCCGTCCTTAATGAATAATAAACATTTATTAATGATTTATAAAGTGTTTACAGTTGAATTGATAACCTTTCTATAAACCATTTATAAGGCATATATAAGGTGAGCCTTATTGTAAAGTGGTACCATTTTTACAATTCACGACAAAAGAAAATACCATAGTGATGTGTGCAAGACAAAAAAATGTATGGTTTATATCAAATAAAAACTAAAATGCTAAGCAGGGACATTTTTTTCTCTTATTGTTGTGTACATAAAACCATATTTCTTTCCTCAGCTTGTCTTAAAGGTTGTGCAAAAAAAAAAGAAAGAAAAAAGAAAGAAAATATTAGAGAAATATACAGTGAGGCTGGAATTAGGATTTTTGAAATGGCCAACAAGCTAACATAATCAACATGTTTCATTCCTTACATKAGTATTGATCACACATCCATTTTCTGTACACGCTTATTCCTTTCAGGGTCGCATGGGTCACTGGTGCCCATATCCAGCAGTCACAGTGCAAGGGGCGGGGTACACCCTGGACAGGTCGCAAGTCCATCCCAGGGCCACACACTTAGGGACAATTTAGTTATCAGTTAACCTAACAGTCATGTTTTTGGTCTGTGGGAGGAAGCCGGAGTACCCGGAGAGAACCCACGCATGCACAGAGAGAACATGCAAACTATACGCAGAAAGGTTCCCGGGCCGGGATTTGAACTGGCAACCTTCTTGCTGAGAGGCATCAGCTCCACTATCTGAGCCATCACGCATGCCAGTGTTAGTTTAACACCCACAGTGTTAATTTCAACACCAACAAAGTGTCTACATGTGTCCGCACTCGCTGATGTTAAAATAACATTTGTGAAAGTGTTAAATTTTAACAACAATTTTTTTGTTAATTTAACACCATTCAGTGTTTAATATTTAACAATACTTGATGTCACATCAACTTAAAAATAGTGTTAGTGTTAAAATATTGTGTTAAAAGTAACACCAGCCAGTGTTAAATATTCAATAATATGGGTGTCATATTAACATTTCAACAGTGTTAAAACAGTGTTAAAAGTATTACCAGTGTATTATTATTATTGATAACAAAGGAAATTGTGGTGTTTGAAAACTTTTCAAACACCACAAGGTGTCCATACACCATCAACTTGAGAGTGTAAATTTAGCACTCAGAGTTAATATCAAACTCTTTGTAGAGTTGCATTAACACTGCTCAGTAATTAATAGAAATATATAATGAAATCACCCTTCACACACCAAGAAATACCTCTCACTCGGTGTCAATTTTTGGACAATAACATAAACTTAAAGTTGAAAAACTTGATAAAACTGAACAAGAAAGCTAACCAGAACAACAAATTTTTACTCTCATGAACTTTTTTAATGGTCACAAACATGCAAAAACATAATTTCTGCAAGATTTCTCAGCAAGGAATGCTGGGTAAATACTGGTCTGTCTGACATGAGGTGGAAGAGGGTGGGGCTTTCCAATAAACTGCTTTGAACACTGCATGGTGTCATAACAACAATGTTAAGGGTTATTTATATAAGACTTAACTGTGGGCGGAGCTTATTTAACACTGTCCAGTGTTGAGACAACACTGAGGAAATCAACACTGTGAATTAACACCAACACTGGGTGTCAGTGTACTCAGAAAGTGTTGAAATAACACTAGGGGGTGTTAAATCAACACCCAAAAGTAGAACACTGCAATTTTAACACTCCTGTTTTTGCTGTGTAGGAAAACTGCTAAAGCTAGCCTTTTCTGTTGTGGCCATAATAAAAGCAAAAAAAAAAAAAAAAGAATCTTGTGTTTTGGTCTAAAGCTTCATAGAGCTGCTGCAGAGCCGCCTGTTGCAGAACCCTGTATTATCCACTTAAAGCTGTGATCCTGTCTGCTGTATAAAGTTAAAGAGCTCCTTTTCACTTCTGTTTCCTCTTCAAGCAGCAAGTAAATGTAGCAGCCATTCATTATTTTTACCCACTTTTCCTTCTCGGGTCGCTGGGGGTTGATGATGCCCTTATCCAGCAGTTATTGTGAGAGAGGTAGGCGAGACCCTGGACAGGTTGCAAGTCCATTACAGGGACACAAAGAGACAAACAGGACAAGCAACCATTCACACCCACTCGCACCTAGAAACAGTTTAGAGTTACAGATTAACCCGACATGCCTGTTTTTAGTCTAGAAAAAATGGAAACAATATCGTAAATATTCACTGGGAGAACATGCATCTGATAAAGTTTTGATTTTGACAGTGTAAACAACAAAAACATTTACTCTTCCACACAAAATGTTGAATGTAACACAGAATATATACAGAAAGATTCACATTGTACTTCACTTAACCAAAAACCATATGACAACAGAATTCAAAGTTAATATTAAGTAATAATACAACAGCAGCAGAGTAGAGGTAGATTATTTTGCATAAGTTTCAGTAATGCAGAAATGTATAATA